ATATAAGCCCCCCCCCCGTGTATAAGCCCACCACATGTAGTAACGCTCACCTCATTCCAAATATAAGCCCCCCCCCCCGAATATAAGCCCACTTGTTTATCAGTTATCACCATTTATTGTTTATCACTATTACCACTTACCACTATTAATCACTATTATTACTATGCTAGTATGCTTAACACTTGTTTATCACTATTACTTTACTTGTTTGTCACTATTACACTAACACAAAAGATCGTCCGTGTATAAGCCCCCCCCGTATATAAGCCCCTCCTTGTATAAGCCCATCAAAAATCGCTTACGGAAAAATATAAGCCCAGGGCTTACAGTCGGAGGTTTACGGTATTTTGTTCTTAATGCTGAATACCTCAATGGCCTTGGCAATGTTCCTCGAGCATATTCGGCTGGGAAGGATTGGTCAAACTCTGCCAACCGGTGAACTATAGAACAAGCTAGAACTAAGATTATATGGCGATCGATTGTTGTAACATATTATAATAATGAGAGATTGAGAATGCACAAACAGGCCGGGGTTGCATGGTGATCGCGATCTAATTAATGCTAAGCACTTAAGTGATTTCATGATAATATATAATACTTGACAAAACCATGCAACTCTCTAGCCTGTGTGTCAGTAACAGTGTAGTCAACTGGAACACAGGCTATAGTAACACAAAACGTACTACTGTGTACTTACTGTAATTTTAGATGTTACAAAATATATTTTTATATACAGTTCATAATATTGTTTGATTATAGCGTACTTGGATGATTAATTGCCTGCAGAATTATTGTTTAGCTATTTCATTTTAGCGCATCTTATTCAGTTGACGCAACATCATTTGACCAACGAAAGTGCGCGATGTTTCGTACTCCGACTTTGACCGTTATTTACTGGTTGTTATAACTAAAAAAATTGGCCAAATCAACCAAAATATTGTTGGTGAATATCCGTACCATTTGTATTATAGTTAAAACAACCTATATTTATTTGGTTGAAATATGCTCAATTTGACAGTTTAAATTTTAGTCATTTTAACTTTTGAATATAGGTTGGAATTACCTTTTTTAATTGGTCAAAATAACCATAAATTTTTAGTTCAATCAACCAATAATTAATACGTTAAAATGACATATTACAGATTTATAGGTTAAAGTAACCATTTTCTATGGTTTGTTTTAACCTATTTAATTTTAGTTGTTTTAACCTATTAAAACAACCTATTTCTTATGGGTTATAAACCAACCCATTTTTAATGGTTTGTTTTAACCTATTTATTTTCGGTTCTTTTAACCTATTGAAATAACCTATTTTTATCGGGTTGTCCTAGACCAAACCAAATAACCTATTTTTTTTGGTTATTTTAACCTATCAGTTTTTACAGTGTACTGGCTGCGTTATGAACTGTGCTATAAATCTTATACTGCAAATGAAATTTAGCTTGGAAATGGCCCCAGTTCTCAAGTATAAGTTTGTAAAAGGCGAAAACAATGGATATTTATTTGTCTTTCCCGCAGTTTGATATGTTATGAGATGAGATTTAAACCTACTCGACTCACAAACCGATTATTTCTGAATAGTTCGGTTCAATTGTGGTCTTTTGCATCATTCCAAAGACAGCATGTAACGTTTGAGTAAATTTCCGCGGATTTTTCACAAGGAAGAGAGCTATGATGATATTAGACGTGAATATAAATGTGCTTATTAAGCATTATAGCTTGTAGCACACTTCCTGTATTGGTATATAAAGTGTCAAAAATAACTCCCCCCCCCCCGGAATGAATGGATAGTATCTAAAACTACCAAAACCTGCCCACATATGCTTCGATACTGGAATATGTGTTATTGGGCGGTATAAACTTAAAACTAAAACGTTTAATTACCAAATTCCATTGATCACCACCAAGACAATCTTTGCCAGAAACTATGGGACAGCTGCTGTAATTTCATATAATTTGAAAGGAATAGCGCCCTCCGTTCCTATATTGTCAAAGATCGTAGCTTATAATTGGACAGATCCTTTTAGGAAATACTATTTAAGTTTTTCATTGTCGTTGCTCGCCAGTCATGCTTGACCACAAAGTTTGCAGCGGAGGTAAGACGTTTATAACATTGAGCATGCAGCAAAACGAGGACACAATAATATTTAACAGGCTTTTCCAAGACCACGCATACATAAAAGAGAATTACAACAATTTATTCTATATACAAACACTAATCATTAAGTATACACAGAATCCTAATATAGCCTTCCTCCTAAGAGAAAATACGTAGCGGACTATATAAAGCATAGTGTAGCGGACTATAAAGATGATTTATTTTCACTTTAAATTAAAACTTAATTATGGTAGCAAAATTAAGAGAGTTCCATAGAGAACCCGTTCGAACCTGCCAACAAAGAAAGATCCTGCATGCATGGTACGAGGTTGACCTGCCAACTACCTGCACGCTGTCTGGAAATTACGATATAATTTATCTCACTCGAGAACATTTCATTTCATCTTTATCATATTACCGAGTGAACAATAACACAATATATATAAATATAGAACAGATGATTCGTCACAGATGAAACAGACTGCTGCGGAATTTTTAGGTAAACGAAATTATATATATATATATATATATATATATATATATATATATATATATATATATATATATATATATATATATATATATATATATATATATATATATATATATATATATATATATATATATATATATATATATATATATATATATATATATATATATATATATATATATATATATATATATATGAATATATATATATATATAT